GCAGCACGGGCATGTAAGCTGGGAAAGAGTGTTATCGGGTCCCGCCATTCATACCCTATTTACCTTTCTTACTACGGTACAACGCAAAAAAATACCCGACTGGCTCGCGGATCAATTACAGGATGCAGAAGACGCGTCTCCTGTTATCAGCAACGCTGCTATTCACCAACAGGAACCGGTTTGCCTGGAAGCCATGCATCTTTTTGTACGGTATTTTGCCACGGAAGCTGCCAGCCTTTGTTTGAAATTAAAAGCTACAGGTGGCTGCTACCTCAGCGGCGGCATTCCTCCTAAAATATTGCCCCTGCTGCAATCCGGAGAATGGTACAAACATTTCCTGGACATGGGCCGCATGAAACCCCTGCTGGAACAGGTACCGGTATATGTGGTATTAAATGGCAAAACACCCTTGCTGGGGGCCGCGTATTACGGGGCATATAATATGGGAGCTAATAAGGGCTAAGAGGAAGGAGAAAAGGAGTTTTTTCGCACAGCGCTAACAGGAAAAAAGACAAAAGTAAGAAGGACCGATATTTATGCAAGGCTTGCTTCCGCAACAGCCCATTAACCGCTGATCTGCCGGTTTTGGGAGCATTATTTCGCAACGGCGGCTGCCTAGCTATATTTCACCTGGCATTTGTTACAGAAAAAACTCCTTCTTTTGGTTTTGCCGGGATATGCTTTTGTAAGCGGGATATTGCAGCGCGGACAAGTTTTCTTACTGTATACCTGCCAGTGTTTTTTTAATGTGCCTTCTTTCTTCCAACGTAAAAAATCAAAACTGTAGTTGGACGCCTCCTTTACCAGTGCGCGCTTTTTTGCAGCCGGGATAGTACCTGCCAGGCTCTGCGGGTGAATGCGGCAGGTGAATAATATCTCGTTCTTTATGATATTTCCTACCCCTGAAAAGATTTCCTGATCAAGCAATAAATCGCAGATAAGCGCAGTTGGCAACTCCTTTATTTTTTTAAGCGCATTTTTACCGTCCCATTTTGGGTTCATTACATCGGCGCTCCAGTCGTACACTTCATCAGGACTTCCTTCTGTCAGCTTCACTGCACAGGTATAAAAATTAAGCTGGCCTTTTTTAAATGAAAGCCCCAACCTGGGTGGCCCTGCCTTTTTACTGCCGATAAGATAAGTACCAAACATCAGTAAATGTATGCGTATAAAAAATCCATCAAAACAAATCAGTAAATGCTTACCCCAGGTTTTTATATGGCGGATGGTTTTGCTTTCCAGCCGCTTTACATCAATGGTGGCAGTACCACTTGCTTTGATAATTCTCTTTCCGTTAAACAGGGCAATGGCTTCTTTGAGCAATACAATGGAAGGACCTTCTGGCATACCTGCCACCGGTACAAAACATATACCAACCTAAAATGGTTATATTTTTGATACGGACATTGTATGAAGCATACTATTGACTGGCGGATTGGATGTTCCGGTTTTTATTACAAAGAATGGAAAGAAATATTTTACCCAAAGGGATTACCGCAGCGGCTTTGGTTTGATTACTACAGCAAACATTTTAATACGCTTGAGCTGAACGCAAGTTTCTACAAATTTCCGACGCTGGCTGCATTACAAAAATGGTTCAGCAACAGTCCCGATGATTTTGTATTTTCTGTAAAAGCGCCCCGTCTTATTACCCATTATAAAAAATTTATTGGTACAGAACAACCTATTGCTGATTTCTATGCGGTTATCAGGGAAGGCCTGGGTCATAAACTGGGCCCTGTACTTTTCCAGCTTCCGCCACAGGTACAATATAGTCCATCATTGCTGCAAACCCTTGTCAGCAGTATAGATCCAGGCTTTAAAAATGTGTTTGAATTCCGCCATAGCAGCTGGTGGTGCAATGATGTTTATGAGAACCTGGGCAACCACTCCATCAGTTTCAGCGGCAGCAGCCATCCAAAACTTCCGGATGCGCTTATCATTAATACGCCCCGGGTTTATTACCGGTTTCACGGCGTTCCGGTTTTGTTCCGTTCTCTCTATGATATGCCATTTCTGAAGAACAAGGCAGATGAGATCACCAAAGCCGTTAATGTAGAAAATGTCTTTCTCTATTTTAACAATACGGCAGGGCCGGCCGCCCTGGCCAATGCGCAATGGATACAACAATACCTTGCAGGCAGGAAAATACTGTAGAAGTTTATCATCATAAACGGCAGCAACACCGCTTTTTCTCCCCGCTTCACAGAAATAGCGCCCCTTTGCAAATGGTATGCTTTTGGATTTTAATTTATTATCTATCTAATCTTAAAATAGTTTTATATGCCATCACTTAAAGGAAAAAGAATCGCCATACTTTCTGAAAACGGTTTCGAAGAGATTGAATTGACCAGCCCCAAAAAAGCACTGGAAGATGCCGGCGCAAAAGTGGATATTGTTTCCGCTCAGAAAGGCAAAATAAAAGGCTGGAATCACGACCACTGGTCTATTGAACTGGATGTAAACGTAAACCTGGATGAGGCTAAAACAGAAAATTACGATGGACTGATGATTCCAGGAGGCGTTATCAACCCCGACCAGATGCGGCTGCACACCAATTATATACAGTTTGCACAGGAATTTCTGGAAGCCGGTAAACCTGTCGCTGCTATTTGCCACGGCCCGCAGCTGCTGATTGAAACCGGTATGATCAGCGGTAAGGAAATGACTTCTTTTCCCTCTATAAAAACTGATCTGATCAATGCAGGTGCGCTCTGGCAGGACAAGGAAGTAGTGAACGACAATGGCCTTGTTACCAGCCGCAGCCCAAAAGACCTGGATGCATTCAATAAAAAAATGATTGAAGAAATGGCCGAGGGTGCACACGCTACCCGTAATGCATTTGCACCGGCACCCGTTCACCAATAAACGTATATTGTATGGCAAAATATTCAAAAGCCGCACAGAAAAAAGTGGAATCTGCCATGAAGCGTATGGAAAAAGGCAAGCTTACCATTGGCCGTTCCGGAAAGAAAGTTGCCAATCCAAAACAGGCCATCGCCATCGGTCTCTCCGAAGCAAGAGAGAAAGGCGCTAAACTTCCTCCACCTAAAAAGAAATCCGCCGTTAAGAAAACGGCGCCTAAAAAAGCGTCTAAGAAAAAAGTTGCTGTGCGAAAAAAATAATAGGCCATGAAAAAACCTGCAGCAAAGAAAGTAAATCCGCCGCAGCGGCAGCAACGCCCGGGTGCAGAAAAGAAAATGCATCCCCAGCCCGTAGTGGACAATCCAGGACGGACAGGAGCAGACAGGCTTAAGGGAAAAACCGCTTTGATAACCGG